AAATTAAAGTCTGAAACAGAGTCAATAAAACTAATAATTTAAAGAGTTTCAGTTTGTTCTCCCGGGTGAAGGTGTCGCAGACTGTGGTTTTTGACGGAATTATAATATATTTAGCATCAGCAACAATCAGGTGAAAAACATTAATAATTATTAATTAAATAATAGTTAAATTAAAAAAAAAAACCCTGCAACATATACCTGTATCTTCCAGCCTGCTGTGGCCCAGCGGGCCTCCGTGCCCCCCGTGCTGGTAGGGCAGATAGGCCCCGGGGTGGTGTGCGCCCACCGGGCTGTGGTAGGACGGGTATCCCAACGGGCGACCGTACGATGACGCACCGGGGGCGAAGGGCCCGTCATGCTGCGCGTGAAGACCGTGCACCGGGTAATGGTTGTGGGAAAAGCCCGGCGAGGGCTGCTGGTGTCCGGGGAAGCCGTGGCCGCCGAATTCCAAAAAGGCCGACTTGGACGGATCAGGCGGGACCAGAGAGTCCGATATTGAGCTCATCGTCATCATTGGGGCTGCGGGTCAGAGACGTGCGGGGAAACGAGAGGGTAGTCGAGCTGCTAAGACCTCCGGGCGGGCGACATCATCAAGTGACGCAGCATTAAGGACAATATATACATATAAATATATATTATTACTAATAATAATAATAACAATGTCGTCAAAGTGTTCGAAGAAGCAACGGTTTCTCTGTGTAATCCTGCGGGATGGAGAGAGTGGCGGGAGGCTGTGTTAGCTCGGTTTTTGCACCGCTACATCCCGGCTCATGGTTCCAAAGCGGCGGGGAAAACCGGTTACAACCATCCAGTCCTGCAGCAGCTGGTGCCACGGCGTGTGACCCGCATCCACAGCGTCAGTCGAGCTTTTTGGAACCTGGTGACAGAATAATAATTTCACCGTCCCGTGAATCTCCGCGCTTCCTCCGAACCGTCTGGGTCCACGGAGCTTTTTGCGGCGCTGGTTTTTCAGCAGCGGCTGTTCTGTGAACAGGACTGTGTCCCTCCCCTCTGTCATTCCACCAGCTCCACTCATTCCAACCCCGTCACGCACAGCGCGCTCATTGGCTGCTGCGTTTCTCCGTGTCACACAAATCACGCCGCGGCTCCCCCGGCGGCGGGCGGGGGCGCGCGGGCGCGGCGCGGGGGCGCGGGGGGGGGGGCGGGCGGGGGCCCGCCCCCCGGGAGCACACGGGGGCCCAGATATCCCACCTATGAGACGCGGCTTCAGGTGAGGAGTCGGTAAATCTCGTAAATCACCGATAAAATACGAGGAAAACTACACGCAGTTAATTTTTATTACAAATTAGGCAAAATAAAGGGCCATTATGAGATATAATATTAACACAGTGACTGTCATCAATTACAGGTTACAATTACATCTGTGTGAGCAGAGACGAGCACGCGCTCCGGGCCCTGAGACATTTGATCGTGTCATTATCATTAACTCCCTGCGGGCGCTTTTTACTCGGTTTGATCAGAGGCGTTTTAACTACACTAACACACACAGGTTCAAGTCTCCTGACACGAGATTTCTGGTTAAAACAGTTGTAACTAGTGCTGTAGTCAAATACAAACAAAATTAAAACCTTAATGTGATCTGCCAAAACAAATCAAATCAAATAATACAATTATTGACCAGAATTATTTTAATTCTGAAAATGTATTTTAAAATGTCTTTTTGTTTTTTTCTCTCTCATACACACATACAGAAACTGATAATAATTAGAATACAACACAATAATAATAATATAATAATTATAATAATGATGATAATGTTTTCAGGTCATCTACATTATTGTTAATAAAAGGATCATCTGACTAGATGATCTAACCTACAGGCGCTGATGCGTTCACGGTCCAATCGTTAACACTAACATCTATTAGCACCTCGTAGCCTATAATATAATAAGTCAATAAAAGTCAATACGCGACAGAAGCCAACGTGAATGAATCGAGTGTCAGAGACACAATGAATATGTGAGTCAATACGAAGGCGCGGGTTTTTATTCTTCCTTTTTTTTTCCTCGTTAAATATTTTAAAGCTCAACTTTAATCCCGGATTTTCTCCTTAATGCTGCGAACAATGACGACGAGCTGAGAGCGAAACTTGCCCTGAAATCAAAGGCCTGTCAGCGCGTCCGTGGGACAACGTGTGTGTGTGCGCGGGTGTGTGCACGCGCGCGCAGTCACACCTGTTGCGTTATGGGGAGAAAGTGTGAATTGTTACGGCTAACTCTGGCTAACTGTTAGCTACAGCTCGGCTAACTGTTAGCTGCTGGATCACAGTTGCTAACATTTCTGGCCTCAGCGGTGAACCGACAACTCTGTTCATGTTTGCTTTAATTTAACTGACTTTGAATTTTATTTTATTTTTTTTTAGCCAAATTCTGTTTTTATCTTTTACATTTGTCGTTGATATCGTGGTCGTTCAGGATATGGAGAAACATCTGTAGATGTGACTGAGTCGACCTTTGGTTTGGTTGGTGTCAACAACCCTGATTTATGGAGCTATTTTTATCTGTATTTCTTGTTACGTCAACTCTTTCTGAGTCTTCGACTTCAAAGAATTGTTTTTTGTAGCTCAGTTTTTAGTTTTTAGTTTTTAGTTTTACGTCTGTCGACTTCCTGTATTTACTATGTTTTTATGTTTTGTAGAAATTTCACATTTCCTGTATTTACTATGTTTTTATGTTTGGTAGAAATTTCTCATTTTGTTCATTTTTACTTTTGTCAACACACACACACACACATATAAGACATATATTTATATATGTATATGTGTTTATATATGTATATATATATTTATATACTGTATATGTATATATGTGTGTGTGTGTGTGTATAGAGTCAGGTTTTCTGCTCCATACTGCCTCTGAGGGTAAACACTAATTACTGCAGTTCCAAAGACATAAATCATTTCATCGTCGTCGTCGTGGTTACAGTCAAACTGTCACTGTTCACGTTCAGAGACTGGTTCACCTGGAGCCGTGACCACGGTCTGTGGAACACAGGAAACTCTGCTCCGACATGAACGTCAGTGAAGTCAAATGTTTGAACATCTACAGCACAGAGTTAAAGACGGGGCCGCGGGACCACAACTGTCCCTGTTTCTGTTCTGTTCAGGTCCAGGTTCACACACACACACACACACACACACACACACAGAAACACTCCAACAGCCGTCGTTGTATTTGTAAAAAAACAGGAAATGATGAAACCTTAATTGTTTCTAAAATAAACTCCAGAGATTTGATGAACAAATCAGTCGTCGTGAAGGGAACGTCAGCGGGAAGTTCACGGGAAAATATATTATTATTATTATGGCTGTTAGTTTTCCAAACAGCAGGACAGGTTGTTGTTTTTTTTTTTTTTTTGTTTTTTTTTTTCCCTCTGACTGTTGTGTGACTTCTTCTTTTTGAATTCTTCCTCTACTTTTTATTTTACATAATATGTTTATTATTGAACTGTTGTTGAGATTGATTTATTTATATAGATTTTTTTCTTTATCCTCAGAATCAGAAATGACTTCAATGTTCTCTGAACTCTGAACATTACGTTGGTTAAAATAGAATAGAATAAAATAAAATAAAAGACAAAATATAAAATAGATTAAAAATAGAAATAAAGTAGAAACTGACACAGGTCAAAGGAACCAATGGCAGCAGCAGAATATAATTAAGTAGATACACCATTGTACACACAGTATACATGTGATACTGCAGTAGTCCTGGATATTTACTCTTTATTCAGATCGACTATATTTATTTATTTCCTCGCTTTTGTTTGATTTGATTTGACAATAAAAATCCTCCTAAAAAACAGTTTTATTATCAAAGTAAATGGACGTAGAAATCAAACCCTCAACCTCCTTCATCTGTGTGTGTTCTCTCTTCAACTACTGCTTATATTTATAGAGCAGCCGTGAACAGAAAGTCTAAAAAAAAAAAAAAACGTTGTACTTTTTTTTAGATGACTTGATCTTATTTTTGGTGCCAACGGAAGATAATAAATAGCATCAAGATGACGACACTCATACACACTCACACACACACACACACTCACACTCACACACACACACACACACTCGGGGTGGGAGGTGTTTTGTCTTGTTTGGTTCTCGTCTCGTTCCCGTTCCTCGGCTCCTGCCTCCAGGATCTGGATCATTAGACCAACATCTCCAGCCTGAGCTGCCGCTTTCATCTGCAGCCAGCGTTCTTCTCGTCCCTGACTTCACCTCTGTGAGCGCGGGACACG